CGAATGCCTTCAGGGCTCTTTTGGCCAGCTGGAGAGGTGTGAGGTTCGAACTCCAGCAACCTGAGGCTGACAGCTTTGTGGAAGCAGCCATTTAAAGACCTGAGCTAGGGCCAGGCCCCCTGGATAGTATTTTTAACTCCAGAATTTCCTTTATAATTTATGTCTCTTTATTGTTATCCCCCATCAGTTGAGTCATTTGTATTGTACTTTTACTTAATTCTTTACATATAAACCTTCCCTCTCCAAATACATTATTTTCTTTAAAGTCTTTGTCTCCTGCATCCAACATGTTATTTATTTAGGGTCATGTGGACTCTAATTCTGTAGATTCTGTTTTCCCCAGTGTGCCATTGTTCATTTCTCTTGATAATTGATTTTTATTTTACAATTGAGTTCATGGGGATTACCCCTAGATTAGTATAGCTTAGTATTCAGTCAATAGTTTTGCTTAAATATCCTCATCTAGTAAAGATCCTGCTTTTTCTTTTTATTTATTTATTTATTATTTATTATTTTTATTTTTATGTGTTTAGTTCAGGATTTACAGTGTCTCATTGCACAGATCAGACTTGTAGAGATCCTTCCTGTTTTTTAGCCTCCCAAGCACTGGGATTATGGGCGTGTGCCACCATGCCCAGTCTCATTCACCTTCTCGGTGCACCCAGGTATGGGGCTGATATGACACACGGAGGATCGACCCCTGGTCGATGGGTCTGCCTAAGCAGTGTTTTAATCTGCTGAGCTATCTGGCCAGCCCAATCCCACTATTTCTTGATGGGTCCATTTGTGATTTGGGGAATCAAAATTTCAGAAGTTTACTAGTCTGCTCCAGCTTTTACTTTCAATGTTTTCAAGTCCTTACATTCAGCCAGGTCAAAGTAGATAGCTGGGAACTTCTTTTTCATTAATTTTGGAGTGTTCTTGAAGCCTATGTAAACACACAGCCTCCCAGACTGAAATCCAGCCTTCTCAGCAAATGTAAAATCTTACTAAAGCCCACTGTGATTGCCTTGTCTCTGAAGGAGAACTGGACTTTATTTAAAAGCCTTAAAACTTTGACCCTAAACCTTTGCCTTCTGACACTTCACCTGCTGAAAGACAATTAAAAAGAATATAGCAGGGACCTGGCATGATAGTAAAGGAATGCAGGGTAAAAATGAAGAGATGAATAAAGTTCAAAGAGAGTAACCAAGCTGCTCCAGCCTCTAACAGTTTAATTGTTCAGCTATGGCAGTGGGAAGGCGGACCTGAGCTTTTGACTGACTCTGCAGGTTGAAGGTTCAGGAGCCACAGGTATTTTGCACATAGTGGATGCTGAATAGGCATTTCTGAATGAGCAAATAAGTGGATAGGATGATTTGGACTCTGTTTTTGTTTTTGTCTTTTTTTAAGGGACAGATGCTATAAATGGTTATATAAAATTATTTTTTATCTTTTCATTTATTTTATTATTATTTTTAGTCTTTTAAAAATTTGGTACAAGGTCTCACTCCACAGCTTGGACTCGTAGTGATCCTTGTGTCTCAGCCTCCCCAGCACAGTAATTACAGTCGTATGCCACTATTCCCAGTTTTGGTGGCCGGCACAGTGTGCCCAGGGTGTCCCTGACTGGCACAGCGTGTGATACTGGGAACTGAACCTGGGTCCTTGCGCTTGTCAGGCAGGCACTTAGACCACCAACTGGCTCCCCAATCTAAAATTATTTTTTTATCTTTAAAGACAAAATTAATTCAAAAGCTAATACAAAAGAGAAAATAGGCCCATGTATGTTATTAGTCAGAAATGTAATATAATCTTTCAAATAGAGATTTAAGCAAAATACCTTTCCCTACAAAAAATATTAAAACTTTATTATTTGGTAAATTTGAAGCACACATGGAAGTAGAGATGATAGTATGATGAACCTCTTGTGCCTCTTCCTCAACTTTAACAGTCACCGGCTGGCTCCCCTAGCCTACTCCAAATTAGCTGCTCCCCTAGCCCACTCCAGATTAGTTTGAAGCAGTTTTCCAGAATAAGAGGACTCTATAAGTAGACATTTCTTATAGTTGATTTTTGTTATTCTTGTGCTATAAAGTCACTTTGAACTGAATTGGCTGCGGAGATAGTTCAGCTGCGTAAGCACTGCCTGGCAAGCATAAGGTCCTGAGCTCGATCCCTGGTACCTAAAATAAATAAATAAAAATAACCAACACTGAATTACTGAATATTGAATTGCTCCTTGAGGACATACAGGGTTAGGTTTTGCCAGTCCGCTGATCACATTTTCATAAGCCAGTCACCACAGAATGTTATTGTATGTGTGTTTCTGTTGAAAGACACCTTATTTAATATATGTTAGTGATTTGTTACCGTTGAGCTGATAGCCAACAGATCTTTAGCTCATAGATGAACAAGATTTATCTAACATGTATTGTCTTTGTAAGGCACATCACAGTTTAGGTGTACTGGACAGAATTTCAGCACCACACTAGAGGCTATTTTTAGTCAGTAGAATCACAGCAAATAGTATAAAATTGCAAAAAAAAAAAAAAAAGGTGGCACTAAGGAAATCATAAGAAGGACACTTGTTTATCATTAAGAGCTAAAACAAGAAGTCAAAACATAGTTTTGCTTGACCTTAGCTGGGAATGTGCATGTTTGCCAACTCAAAAATTTCACCACTGCATGAACTTGCTTAAAAGTGATCATAAAACTTCTGCAAAGTTTAACTTCAGAGTTAGAAATAAATTTTAGCAAGTATACAAATTTACAAATATAAACTTTGTAAATAATGTGATTTTACCAAGTTTTTTTTTTTTTTTAAACGCAGTTTTGAGAATTGAACCCAGAGCCTTGTGCATGCCTTGCAGGTGTTCTACCCACTGGCGTATACCCCAGCTCTTTGAGTGTCTTTTATTAAAGATAAAGACTTTCCACAACTATATACTTGTGACTCTTTTACAGTTGTTAATAATTCTTTAATATCATGCAGTGTCTATTCAGTATTTAACTTTACCAGTTATCTCAGAAGGAGTTTTTCTTTTTCGTACCAGGAATCGAACTCAAGACCTGACATTTGCCTGTCAGACACTGTGCCATTGAACTACATCCCCAGCCCATCTCATAAAGTTTTGAAAAGTTGAATATGTTAGAATAAGGATTCAGATGAGATCTGTATATCACAGCTGGCTAAAATGTCTTTTAGTTGGCCGTGATAGTGCATGCGTTTAATTCCAGCACTAGAGAAGCTGAGGTGGGAGCATCACTTTATGTTTGAGACCAGCCTGGCCAACATAATAAGTTCAAGGCCAACCTGGACTACAGAGAAAGACACACACACACACACACACACACACACACACACACACACACGTACCCCATGTCTCTTAAGTTTCTTTATATCTATAGGCTCCCACTCATTATATTGTCTTTTTTTTTTTAGAGACTCTGTTGATTATTCTGTAGAATATCTTACAGTCCATTTATTCCCCACCCCCACTTAGAATTGATCCCAGGGTCTTGTACATGCTAAAAAAGTGCTTTACCACTAGACTACACCTCAAGCTCCAGATTTTGATTGTAGTGTCTCCATGTTTTTGAATAACATATTTGGGCTTTCTTCTAAACTTCCTGCAAATCAGCTTTAATCAGATTCATTTCAGGGTTTTGGTAAGATCACTTCATAGGATTGATTCTTTTCCTTTATTTACTAATGTTCAAAATAGTGAACTGATTTCTTAAAAACATTTTCCACAGACAATGGATGAGATTTCTTCCTCTGTGTCAGAGAGCATGTATCATGAACTCATGGATTGAAAGATACAAATGGATGTGTTTCACTCCATTGTAGCTTTTATTCTTTTTAAGTTTTAAACATTTCCTATTACTAGCCAATGAACACTTTTTCATGGTAGCTTTTGAGGGTTTTTTTTTTTTTTTTTTTTTTGACACTATCCTTGTCTTTCTGGTATAATCAGATTTTATAGATTCATTATAAACATCTTGACTCAGACGTGAATTTAGACTTTTCTCTAAAAAGTTGTAGTTTGAGGAAAGTGGTGGGGACGTGTAAGTGCTATAACCTGCATCCTAGTTCTGTTCATTACTACTGGGTTCATCTGTTAAGAAGACAGATTAAATAAAAGTATATTTCTTATTTTAAATAAAGAAAAATGAATTCTGTGTGTATGTTTGACTCCTTTCCTCCCTGAATAGATAAATAGCACATACTCAGGGTTTTTTTTTTTTGTTATCACTAGTGATGTAATGAATTACCTCATGTGTACTCCTTTCTATATATTTTTGTTACTGAATCTTTGTAACAGACTTCTAGAAATAACATCCCATGTTCAAAAGTGTGTGGTTTTATTTAAATTTTCCAAACCTGCTTCTGTGGACTTGCACTATTTTACATGCTCAGCAGTATATTAGCTTGCCCATTGTCCTATAGACTCACCAGTCTATGTGCTGCCCAATTATTGTGAGATATCTTGGCCAGTTTAATAGATGAGAAATGCTACATCAATATAGTTTTAATTTTCATTTCTCTTATGATTGAGCAGATTCTCTTCATATATTTAAGGTCATTTGCATTTTTTCCTAAAAACTGGCTAAAACCCTCTCTGTATTAAAAATTTTCTTCCTTTCTGGATTTTAAATTAGACAGGTATAATTTTTTTCTACTTTCAGGATAGAAAGTTTATCCATTCTTTTCTAGAGTTCACATGACTTTTTTTTTTTTTTTTGAAGTGGTTCTCTGATTCATTTGGAACTTACCTTGGTAGAGTGAGAAGTTGAATCAATTTTATCTTTTCTAAATGTTATATTGATATCATTTACCAAAAAGTCCCTTTTTCCCCACTAATTTAACTGGCTAATGTATTTCCATATGCACATTTAGAGGTGAACTGTTATAACTCTCTGAGTAGTGTCAGGATGAGAGGGTAGAATTTAGGAAGGAAGAGAATAATAATGACTTTTGAGATCTTGAAAAATAATTTCTTACAGGACTTTTGATATAGAAGAGTGGTTGAAGATTGTCTATAAAAAGTATATCGTGAGTTTATTAAGTTTTTAGTAAATTCCTTCTCTCCCTTTTTTATCTTGTAGCACCATGTATGTGTTTGGTGGTTTCAACAGTCTCCTCCTCAGTGACATCTTGGTGTTTACCTCAGAACAGTGTGAAGCACACCAGAGTGAAGCTGCTTGTGTAGCAGCAGGACCTGGTATCCGGTGTATGTGGGATACAGAAACATCTCAGTGTGTCTCCTGGGAATCAGTCACAGAAGAACAAGCCATGAAGTTAAAATCAGAATGTTTTTCCAAAAGATGTATGTTTTTCTCTGCTTAGAATTTAATTAGATATCTAAGTTTTATTTAAATTATGAAGGAACTTAGCACATGTGTACTTCTGTTGTCCACTACATTATCTGTAATTATTTAGTTATACTTACAAAAGGCCTTTTTGGGTATTTGAGAGTCATTTTGTAAACATATTTACAGTGGACGAAAATATGCCATATGACTCCTAGAAGTTCTTTGCAAATGATAGAGGCAAAATCTTGGCATTTCATAGGCTTTGTACCCCAACTCCAGAACCTGGCTGCATTTGGTCTGAGATGGTGCTGTTTTGTAGAACTTGTTTTGACGATGAAAATGTTAAATGATGAAAAAGTTCTGCACTTTTAGCCGCTAGCCACATAGGGCAATCAGATACTTGAAATGGGCTAATGAGATGAAAGAGCCAAATTTTCTTATTTTATTTAAAAATTATGTGTGTGATGGCTACCATATAGGATTATGAAGGTATAACATTAAGAATGAGAGTAGGAAGGTAAACCTAGAAAAACCATGTTAGAGTAAATTGTTCTGGTAAAGACACACCCTTACTAACAAAGTATTTTCTAGCTCTTGTAGTTGGATATGACAGTGAGAGGGAGACAGAAAGTTGCTAAAGATGGGCAATGATTTGTTTCTGTAACTTTTCTTCATCTTGCTGAGGGTGAACAGTGATTCCCACTTTAGAACCTTCCTCTAGGTTTTCCAGCCTCCTTTCTTCATCCTACCTGCTTAGCTTTTTTCCCTTTTCCTCTGACATAGAGTACAGAGCAACACAGTGAAATAATGTATAAGAAAGTCCTTAAAGGGTAGGAAGAATATCTCTTCAAAATATTTGTTCACATTCATTAAAGTGTGTTGACAGTTTCTTACTTATTAGAATCAATTACAGTGATGAGAGTTATGGTGCACAGAGGCAGATTTTACTTTCCCAAGTTGCTCCCAATTAAGCTATATAGGAGCATAAATCCTTGGTAAGAAGTAGACAGTTTTCCTAGGTTCATTGATGAAGCACAGAGATTACTGAAAACTGGTAGGATTAGTAACTGGCTCTAGAAGGGGGTAAAATCAGTGAAATAACTATTTTAACTAAAATTTTAAAAGTTCAAATTAAACTTGCAAGTATATTGGAAATAATTCATCTTAAGTGGTTCAGTATGAACCCATCCCATCTTACATGTTGACTCTCTGTTTCATTCAATTCTGGGTGGGCCTAATCCTTGCGGAGATGACCAGCGTAGAAAGAACAACTTAGTGGGCCTTTGCTTTCTTTATTAGTGGGTTCCACTATGTGCCATACCTGAAGAGGGTTCAACAAATAAGACAGCATGGTTGTACAGTTTTTCTAAGATCAAAAGGAAGCACATCAGATCTGCAGCAGCCCAGAAGTTCTGAGACTTGCACTTTTTTTTTGTTTTTCTTTTTATGATGCAAGGAGTTGAATCTGAGGCCTTCACTCTAAGCCTCATCCCCAGTACTTTATATATACATATACAGTGTATGAAAGATATCATCTGAACTTCTTTTTTTTTAATGGAACTAGGAATCAAACTCAGGACCTCGTGCTTGACAGACAGGCCCTGTGCCACTGAGCTATATCCCTGGCCCTGAAATACAATCAATAACATATAATATATCATATATATAATATATATATGGATATATAATATATATTACATATATAGGATATATTATATAAATATATGATATAGAAATACATATACCATATAAACATATGAGATGTAAATGCGTAGCATACAAAATATATCAAATGTAAGGGCCAACCAAATAGCTCAGTGGATTAAAGCATCTGCAAGCAGGCAGAGGGGCTCCCCCCACCCCCGTGCTGGCCCCGCCCCCACTCCCAGGGCTTGCTGAAATGGCAATGGAGACTGGGTGTGATGGCATGCTCCTGTAATCCTAGCACTTGGGAGGCTGTAAACAGGAGAATTACTATAAGTCTGATCTAGTAGTGAGACCCTGAACACCCTGTAGACCCTTCCCTAAAATACAGAAAAAAAATTTTTATGTATATATATATATATAATGTAAATATATATGGTATATATAAATATACATCATATATGAAAATATATATCATGTATATAAATATATAGTATCTCACTAAGTCATGTAAGTTGTCCAGGATGGGTTTGAACTTCCTATTTCAGCTTCCCAGAGTGCTGGAGTTACAGGCATGTACCATCACACCCAGCTCAGTTTGCATTTTTTAATTCATGTGTAAATGCATAAAATATTCGACTAGTGAGGAGACAGAGGTGGCGGAGGAGCTAGAGGTGGTGGAGGAGGAGGCGGCGCCCGCGGCCCTGGGGGATGAAGGGGGGGTAGCTCAAGAGTGAGTGAGTGGCTGAGTGAGTTTACCCCTACGAGGTGGTGAGAGACCCAGGGCCTACCTCCAAGGCGTGGGGTAGCAGTGCCGCCTAGCAGCAGGCTGCCTGTGGTCCCCGGGCCCAGTGGAGTGGCGGTGATGGCTCGGTTGTGAGGAAGCAGGGAAGTGGGTGTCCAGGGCCCACCGTGGAGGGCATGGACATGGACCTGGACCCTGAGCTGATGCAGAAGTTCAGCTGTCTGGGCACCACCGACAAGGACGTGCTCATCTCCAAGTTCCAGTGGCTGCTTGGTTTCCAGCTCAACTCGGCCGGCTGCGCCTTCTTCCTGGACATGACCAACTGGAACTTACAAGCGGCAATTGGCGCCTATTAGACTTTGAGAGCCCAAACATCAGTGTGCTCTCTATGTCCTTTGTTGAAGATGTCACCATAGGAGAAGGGAGGTCGATACCTCCTGTTACTCAAGTTTGTAAAAACATGGGAGATCCAGAATTCTGGAGCAGAAGTCTGGCCTCCAGGGGTTTGTCTTAAATATGTTGGGGGAGGTCAATTTGGACATGTGAACATGGTGATGGTGAGATCCCTAGAGCCCCAAGAGATTGCAGATGTCAGCATCCAGATGTGCAGCCCCAGCAGAGCAGAAATGTATCAAGGACAGTGGCGGATGTGCACTACTACAAGACTCTACTACGCTGATGTCATCGGGGTGATGCTCAGTGTGGAGGTGGGTAGACTTTTAGGAGTAGTAACACAGCAGCTGTCATCTTTTGAAACGGAGTTCAACACACAGCCACATCGCAAGGTAGAAGGAAACTTCAACCCATTTGCCTCTCCCCAAAAGAACCCACTATCAGATGAAAACAACTTAAAAGACCCTGGGGGTTCTGGGTTCGACTCGATCAGCAAAAACACATGGGCTCCTGCTCCTGACCAAACCGAGCAAGATCAGGATAGACTGTCACAGAACTCTGTAAATCTGTCCCCCAGCAGTCACTCAAACAACTTATCAGTAATGACTTACAGTACAGGGCTCCACGGGCCTCACCCCTTCAGCCAGTCTTAAAGGGGTATCAGCAAGAAGAAAAATTAACAAAAGACAGAAGGCCCAACTTTGGGGGGAAGGGCAAGGGGTTCCTCTGGATTCCAGATCACATAGAACGGACCCCTGGCTCTGACTCCCATCCCAGAAAAAGAGGAAGCAGCAGAACAGACTAGTATGGAGTGAACTCAGTATGCATGTTTTAATGCCGGATCGCAGGGATAATGTTGGGGCTACCAAGAAATCCACACCCCCCCAAAAAAAAACAAACTTCAACTAGTGCCTACTTTGGGGATCCCTGGCACTCTCTATTGCCTGTGCCCAACTAGCCTTGCTTTTGTACCTGGGAAAAATGGCACAGTCTCTTGCATTGCTTTCTTTGGTTCCTAGGAAGCCTCCTGGGTATATTCCATTACAGTTTTTTCTTTGCACAGAAAAATATTCAAAGACCCAGACTTTCACTATATCTTATAATTGTTAATTTATCTATCTTTGCTTTTTCACTTTTGTATTTTTTTGCTTTCTTTTGTACAAAATAGTATTTCTTTATATTGCCTATTTATTTCTAAGTCCTATCTTGACCTGGACATCCCAGTACATTTCCTTCCAATTTCACTCTTCATTTTACTTCTCAGCTATAGTACTATTATGATTATTTTAACTGTGTAAGATTATCTTTAACAGAAACTGTCATAGTTATTTTTTCTCTTTATAGCTCTTGACCATGACAGATGTGACCAGAACACAGATTGCTACAGCTGTACAGCCAACACCAATGATTGCCACTGGTGCAGTGACCATTGTGTCCCTAGGAACCACAGCTGCACAGAAGGCCAGGTCAGGTGCTATTTCTCAAGGACATCATAGAGGCTAGAAAAATTCTGCTTGGATTTATTTAGGTAGAAGAATGTATGGTATAAATAATGATCCAGAATTATTTTTAATGGGATATAAATTTGAATGTTACTATTGCTCAGTTTTTCTTTTAGGGAGGAATGCTCTGTGCATCCAAAGATCTCACACTAGCCAAAAGGTATATATGTGTGGTATAACAGAAGAAGGTGGTGGTGTTGTGTAAGGACGGTTAGCCCTGGGTAGGGGCTGAGCTGCTGGCTGTGAGGCTTGGAATGCTGAGCTTATTCCCCTGACAGTTAGGATTTGGGGCAGCTATGTATTGGCCCACGCTGAATTGTGGCAATGATAGGCTTTACAGAATACTCTTGTCCTTTTTATATCTTGGCTCAGCACAATGTCAGTGTACACTCTAGTTGGTTTTTAAAATTGAGATTATAGTAAAAGAATAAATATCAGATGACCATATATATATATATATATATTTGTTTTTGTTTTACTTACCAGTCTTTTTTATTCAGTATTGGAGATTGAACCACAGCCTTATATATTTTAAGCATGCACTATACCACACCTCTAATTCTTTTTATTTTGAGACAGGATCTTACTGAATTGCCCTAGCTGGCCTCAGATTTGCAACTCTTCTGCCTCACTCATGAATAGCTGAGATTACAAGTCTATGTTAGTACACGTAGGTTTTTGATAGTTAATTAAACTTGAAGGGGGTCAACTTAATACAGTTTGTAAAATAGAAAATTTTTAGATTGTTAGGAGAACACTTAAAAAGGAACAAGTTTAATATTTTCATTTTATAGGTGACCATGAGATGTATGACATTTTTAAAAGTAGGCTGCTTACTTGCCTGGTAAAGGCGTGTCCTTGAACAGAACATTCCACTGCATTGTTTCTCTCACAGTGCAGCTTCATCTGCGTCTGCATCTAGCTATCTCTTTATATGCTGTTTGCTCCTCAGTTAGACTTCGTGGTCTTCAGTATCCTATTAGTCTTCACCCTGAGTTCTCTGAGTGAATTTAAGGCAAGAGCTTTTGTTTTCTGTGTTCTAGATCTCCATTTTCAAGTATGAGAATTGCCCCAAGGATAACCCTATGTACTACTGTAACAAGAAGACCAGTTGCAGGAGCTGTGCCCTGGACCAGAATTGCCAGTGGGAGCCCCGGAATCAGGAGTGCATTGCTCTGCCTGGTAAGCCTTATAGGGCACCTTATATGTGGGTCCACAATTCCAGTCTTATATTCAGAAGTTAAAAATGTGTCTTATGCCCCCCACATTCTAATGAAGCCCCTGGAATTCAAATCACAAGGATCATTTATGTTTTCAATAATTGGAACTAGTAATATAATAAAAACAGTTTTATGATTCTTAAAACTTCTTCTTCTCTCCACTTTGTAAAAGAAAACATTTGTGGCATGAGCTGGCATTTGGTTGGAAACTCATGTTTGAAAATTACTACTGCCAAGGAGAATTATGACAATGCTAAATTGTCCTGTAGAAATCACAATGCCTATTTGGCTTCTCTTACAACCCTGAAGAAGGTGGACTTTGTCCTTAAGCAGCTTCGAATGATGCAGTCATCACAGAGCATGGTGAGTTAACATCCTTGAAACTTCAGTTTCTAGTACCTGCCTTTCTAATGAGAGCCTGATGGTAGTTTGTATGTGGAAAGCTGTGGATGCATGTGCTGTGCATGGCCAGAGGAGGAATGCTAATACCATGAGTGTCTTTGTCTACTGCCTTTTTTCTTAAAATTTTTAATACTTTGTAAAGTTTTGATAGTTATAACCATTATAAGATACATAATAGTCTGTAGGATGAATAGTAACATGTATGTATATATTCACAGACTCTGCTGTCTTCATTAGACAGTTTCATACCTGTTTTATCTCTAGGTTCTGCTGGAATTAGAGAAACAGTGCACAGCTAATTAGCTATGGTAGATCAAGTTACTTGCATCTCTGACATTTAAGGTGTTATTATAATATATAATATGATTACCAGGGCCAGCCAGATAGCTCAGCAGACTAAAACGCCTCTTTAGGCAAAACAGAGGGACTGGGGTTTGATCCCTGGAACCACATACCATGCTGGGCCTGCCCCCAGGGCACATTGAGATGTGGATTGAGACTGGGCAGGGTGTTGCACACCTCCCACTTGGGAGGCTGAAAACAGGAGGATCACTATGAGTCCAATCTGTGTAGTAAGACTCTGTACTAAATACATTAAAATATATATATTTTATATATATATATATATATATATATATATCTCATGTGGGTCTCTCTTAGGCTAGGCCAACCCAAAATAAAAGGGCAGCTTCTTGTTAAAGATTTCTGAGGTTGGAAAGGCTCATGTTCCCTTCCTGTTCCCACCCTGCTCCCACTCTCGAGCTCTTGGAAAAATTAATTGTCATTAATGATCACATAATGCAATTAATAATTACATTTTGTCATTTTTAGTCCAAAGACCATGAACTGTGTTCCTACCTTTAGTTAATTATGTATTTATGTAACAAGGTTCTTCTAGCAGGTGGGCTGTGGCACAGAAAAATGTGAAGGAAATGTTCTTGTCAAGTAGATAGGAATGGAAGGCAACACAATTCCTTGGGTGGAGCTCTGTTCATGTCACAGTGCAAACATGTGGTCTGGGTCCTGGTTATGTACAGTCTCTGTGGGAGGGCGGATGCTCCTGCTGTGAACCAGACCTAAAGACCTAAAGGCCAAACAAATGCTGAAAGAGTAGCACCTGGGATTGATATTCTAAATAGGTATCAATCACCTGGAAAGACCCAAGTGAGTCACTAGCCCAACCCCCAACAGAAAGAGACCCTGTCCTGCATTCCAACCCCCAACAGGGAAAGACCCTGTCCCATATTCATGCCGCTTGCTACGTGACTCGCTTTCCCATTTGATGCTGGATTTAATCAGTTTTACCTGAGCAATGGTGCTTGTAATCCCATTGGTTGACCGTAGTTTTCTCCCCCCTCCTGTCCACCTAAGCGAGTTCCCATTCTCTCTACCTTAGCCCCACATGGTTTTACACTATAAAAGTCCCTGGAAGAGACAGCTTCCCGGGGAACTACCCACTCAGGCCCCCCTCCTGCCCCTCTCTTGGACAGGAGCTTTCTTTCAATAAATATATTCTGCTCATAAAAAAAGAAAAAGTATCACCTAAAAGACTGAGACTGCTGGGAGTACCCTATGTTTTATTTTCCTTTTTCCAAGTGTAACTTTGATATACTGTAGACATGCAGATATTGGTAGTATTTTCTTAGTCTGCTTGCCTCCAGGGATATCAGGGCTACATTTGGTATTTTATGATATTTTGGTAGCGTTTTCAACTTTTTTTTTTTTTTTTTTTTTACCCCAAACCACATGTAGAGCTTTATTCTTTTCAGTTTAAAAATCATTTTGACATAGGGTCCCACACATCTGCCAAGGCTGGCCCCAGTCCTGAGGTCCTCTTGCCTCGGCCTCCCGAGGCTGCATCACAGGTGCGCACTCCATGCCTAGTCTCCATGTGCACCTTTTGAATAGACTTGGCAGAGGTGTCACAGAAGACTTTCTCATTGGCCTATTGGGAAGCTGGTGCCTGTTTTCCACGGGCTTCAAACTAACTTTCTTCTGGTTACAGAAATCCCGATTTTGATTTGTGAAAGTAAAGGTGAGTTTCATCTGGGAATGGCTGTTTAGTTTGATCTGGGATGAGTTCTTGTTCTATAAAACAGAAGAATGAATTTTAGGAACAGATTATGAGCAGAATATATTTATTGAGGGAAAGAAAGCTCCTGTCTGAGAGAGGGACAGGAGGGGGGGCCCAAGCGGGTTGTCCCCTTTTTTCAACTTTTATAGTCTCCATTGGAGAGTGTGCTGTTTCACCTGACCCCCAAATGTGGGACCTCCTGGCATTCTGTCTTTAGCTAGCAGCTATGGTTACTCACTCCCTCAGGAAATGAACAATAGACTCACAGCTTTGTACACTATGCTGGGGTCTCTTCCAGTGACACAGGTTTACTTTTCTAAAAAATTAACCTGGCTACAAAGATTTAGCTACCTCAGCTGGCCATAGGTGCATCTGTAGTCTTTCTCTTTCAGATTTCCTGATTTATGGGTCTTGGGTAGTCTAGTGTGTTGTAGTACCTTTATGAAATAAAAACTCACAGTCTTGTCATAAGACTAACAGATGAGATAACTACAGTATAATGTGCATCCACAGCTTTAACCTTAAATGTGGCAGCCTATAGAGCCTAGCTATATATTGATAAACAAGAATGGGCACCCACTCTGCCCTTAAGGGCAGAGGCTAGGTGGTGGAGCTAGAAAGAGATATCTCTTGAAGATGGGAAGAGAGAATTGAAAAAGAGAAGAGGGCCAGGCTTTCTGAGTATTGGTATACTGTTATGCAAGATGGAGAGACTGAGAAGAGGCTGAGTAAGTTGCAGGTGCATGCATGACTCTGTGTGTGTGTGTGTGTGTGTGTGTGTGGCTGTGTGTGTGTGGCTGGTTGGCTGCTGGGTATATGGTGAGGAATTGGCAATTGCTGGGCTTCAAGGAGAGACAAGTCCTGAGAGTAGTTGTACCCAGTTCTAATGGCTTTGAATTTTATCCTAAGTGAAAAAGAAATTATTAAAGGACTTTTAAAAAATTATTAATTTTAATGCGCTTTCTTTTAAAAATAATATATTTCAAAGGAAATATGGAAGATATTAATAAATATAAGAAAGTAAATCTCACTTATCATTGTAACTAAAAACACCTATAGGGTGTGTTTCTTTTCTTTTAGGTCTTTTAATAGACGTGTAATTTTCCCCTCAAAAATGGAAAGACATTGTACATTTTAATTTTTAATTGCTCAAATTAGAAATATCTTTCCTTTTTGGGCTAAATGTCATACTTTGATTTTTTAAAATGTTTTAAAAATGACAATGAGAAATAAATTCAGGAAAGTAGGAGGCACAGACTGTCAGGGGTTCACTGCTTTGTTACTTTTTATAAAGTTTAGTGCCAAGTTGGATGCATAGAGAAAGAAAATGTGTGTGTATGGATAGAATGGAATCGAGCCAAATGTTACTCGGCTTACAGGGAAAGCCTGTCATTTACAATAATGCAGATGAACCTGGAAATAAGTAAAATAAGCAGAACACAACTACTACATGACCTCATATATAGACTCTAAAAAACAAAAACAAACAAAAAACACCTTAATGCCTGAAAGCAGAGAGTAGAATGGTGGTTGCCAGTTAGATGAAGGATGGGGTTTGGGATGGGGAGACCTTGGTGAAAGGGTACAAAGTTTCATGAGGATGAGTAAGTTCTTGAGATCTAATTATAGCATGGAGATAGTAATCAATAAATCTGCTGGTAGTACTTAAAATTTACTAAGAAATTACATTTTAAGTGTTTTCACCATACGTGTGCACACAGTAATAAATATATGAGATAATGAATACGTGATTATGGGGATCATTTCACAATTTAAACATATATCAAAACATCATGTACTAAATAATATAGTTTATTTTATTGTCAATTATACCTCAGTAAGTCTGAGAAAGAAAATTTTCAGTGCTAAGTGGTACCTTCTGGCTAAGATGGGATTCTTGAATTATCTAAACTGGCCTTGGCTCCAAATAGGCTTGGGTAGTGATCTGAGGATTGGTCAGTGTCTACATTACTTTTGTTTTTGTTTTTGTTTTTTTTCTTTCTGGTACTGGGGATTGAACTCAGGACTTTGCACTTGCCAGGCAGTTGCATAGTCTACTGAGCTATCTCCCTGGCCCTACATACTTCATAAGTATTAGTAAAATAATTTCATATGTAAAGGGGCATTTAAACCAATTTTGGGGTGACCATTTCTTTAGCATGTGTCATAGGATGTAGGATATAAAATCAAATTTTAGAATTTGATTATTGCTTTGCTGTTGTTCTCTGTAAACTTTTCATACATTATTTTCTCTAAGCTATATTTCTGTCATTTGTAAAATGGCTATATTAAAATGATGGTCTATCCTAATCTACCATGGCTGAGTTTGGGAAGTAGGAGGTTTTCCTGTATCTGTGGAATATTATCTTAGTGGCTTTTAATTATATGCCTGTTTTGGTCAAGACATTGGTGGTTTTCACAGTTGTGCCTGTTTTCCCTGTAGTCCAAGCTCACCTTAACCCCATGGGTTGGCCTTCGGAAAATCAACGTGTCCTACTGGTGCTGGGAAGATATGTCTCCATTTACAAATAGCCTACTGCAGTGGATGCCGTCTGAGCCCAGTGATGCTGGCTTCTGTGGAATCTTGTCAGAACCCAGTACTAAGGGATTGAAGGCTGCAACCTGCATCAACCCACTGAATGGCAGTGTCTGTGAAAGGCCAGGTAAGAACAATGTGAATTAGGTGCTCCAGAAGTTCATTGAGGGAAAAAAGGTGAGGCATAGTAATGTACTGAGATGATTGAAACAGATGAGGTATTGATTTAAAGCATATTTCAGACATAATGTAGAATTTTAAAAGAAAAATACTGGTTTATTGACCATAAAAAGTATTGAGAATTGTTCTGAAAGGCAAATATCTCAGTGTTGCCAGAGAAATGTTGTGGAAGAAAGAAAGAACAAAAATGTAAGCAAGTCACTACATGGACAGTTATCAGAAAGTGATCAGTTGTTTTGAGTAGCTTCTCAGATTTCCTTCTCTCTTGAGGCTAAGTTGAGGCTCCATGAAGGACTAGAATCCGTCTTGGTAGCCTGCAGACAAGTGCAAGACCAGCTGCTTCTTCAGGGGATTCATACACAGTAGGGGGAATTGTGGATTATGTTGGAAGGTGGGACTGTACTTACATCATGGCCAGTTTTAGGAAGGTGAATACAGGAAGTGCAGAAGAGGATTCCTAGCATTCTAGGAGTCACCTTAAAACAGGATTCCTAAACTGTTGTAGGGAAGCCTGTTTGAATCCTAAATGTTTTGATGAATTTGATGTATTCTATGGGCCCTCCCCCTAAAATTATCAACAGGATATTACAAATTCAGGTAGGTTGTAAAACCCTGAATGTTCATCCCAGATCCCCCATATTCAAAGCGGCTTACAGCCTATTTTGTGGAAGCATTTTCTTGGTCCTCCATCTTTGTTCTCAATGATTTTGGAAGGAGTCAATTTTTCCCAGCTGTCTACTTATACTTGACTCAACAGTCAATGAAGACTCTGAAATTTTGTTTTCTTTCTCATGTACTTTAGCATCTAAATTGATCTCATGATAAACTGAAGGATCACAATCTGCACTTGAAAATTCTTTGCCCTTAGCTGGCATGATGGGTGATCTCTGTTCCTTTTGGGTTTAATCCTCAGCAAACCACAGTGCCAAGCAGTGCCGGACACCATGTGCCTTGCGGACAGCGTGCGGGGAGTGCACCAGCAGCAGCTCTGAGTGCATGTGGTGCAGCAACATGAAGCAGTGTGTGGACTCCAATGCCTATGTAGCCTCCTTCCCTTTTGGGCAGTGTATGGAGTGGTACACGATGAGCAGCTGTCCCCGTAAGTGGAAAGGGGAGCGCCCTGTGTGATACGACAGTGCTTGATGTGCTCTTGCCTTTGTGTTATGGTTTGAACAAGTTGGATTTCACCTTCTGCCCATTCTCTTCAGAGGCTTTTAAGGTAGTCCTGCTTAATGAGAATGTGCATACAGAATGAGGCACAATGACACATATAAATAAATAAATAAATAAATAAAGCTAGGATAGATCATAGAGTATGGAGGAACTTTCCTACTTCAGGGTCATATTGTTCAACCCATTTGATGTTTCTAATCTGAATCTCTTAATTTATAAAGTAAGTGCTTCTCTAGTAGAGATCTTTGCAGTCCTCTCCTTCCAGCATCATGAGATTGAAAGGGGATAGGAGGGCTGATCAGATAGCTCAGTGGATTAAAGCACCTGCTTAGGCAGACTCAGGGACCGGGGTTCAATCCCCTGGTGTGCTGTGCCAGCCCCACCCCCAGGGCCTGCTGAGATGGTGACTGAGACTGGGTGTGGTGGCACGCGCCTGTAATCCCAGTGCTTGGGAGGCTGAAAACAAGAGGATCACTACCAATCTAATCTGTATAGTGAGACCCTGTAGACCCTGTACTAAATAATTAAAAAAAAAAAAAAGGACGGGAGAGATTCCTTTTTAGGTATCAAGCAAAACATTTGTTGCAGTCTTTGAAATTAATTATTTTATTTAAATAGTTACTGTAAAATAGTAATTTTGACTCAAAGAAGTTACATAGTGTGTTAAAGGAGACGTAATTTAAATATAATGAGTTCAAATCTACCTGTGATAGTGAATGTGGTTTGTGTTTTTTTGTAGCGGAAAATTGTTCTGGCTATTGTACATGCAGTCACTGCTTGGAGCAGCCAGGCTGTGGCTGGTGTACCGATCCCAGCAATACTGGGAAAGGGAAGTGCATAGAAGGCTCCTATAAAGGACCAGTGAAAATGCCTTCTCAGTCCTCCACGGGAATCATCTACCCTCAGCCCCTTCTAAATTCCAGCATGTGTATGGAGGATGGCAGATACAACTGGTCTTTCATTCACTGTCCAGGTAAGATGCTACACTGTGTATGTTGTTAGGCGAGCACTCTGCCATTGAGTTACATTCCCAGCCCCTGTCTCTTTACTTTCTCTCAGTAGTATTTTGTAGTTTTCAGTGTACATGTCATAAACTTATGTTGTTACAGTTTTATGTAAAATATTTTTTTCTTTATGCCATTGTTAGTAGGATTAACTAGTTGATTTTCTAATTATGTGTCTATGTAGAAATACAGGGTTGGTTTTTTTTCATATGGATCTTATATCGTGAAGCCTTGCGGAACTTACTCTAGTTGTTTTGTTTTAGTGAATTTCTTAGGATCCTCTACATGCCATTTGATTATTTTTTTTTTCATGCCATTTGATTATAAAGATAGTTAAACATTCTTTCCAAACTGAATAACTTTTTCTTTTGGGGGCACTAAATGCCCTGGCAAGATATTCCAGCATAATATTGCATAAAGTATTTAAGGGGTGGCATTGTTGTCTTACTCCTTTTCTTAGAGGAAATAATTCAGTTATTCTCCATTAAGTATGATATTAATTTAGATGTCTGATTCATGCCCTTTATTAGGTTGAGAATGTTTTCTTCTGGTGCTAGATCTTTTTTTTTTTTAATGTATTTGGTTGTTACAGGGTCTCATTATGGAGCTTGGACTCATAACAGTCCTCCTGTTTTCAGCTTCCCAGTGCTTGGATTATAGGTGTGCCCCACTATACCAGGACTCTGTGGTCAGCTCAGTGGGCCCTGGGGGCAGGGCTGGCACGGCATGTGGTACGAGGGATCAAGCCGCAGTCCCTGTGCTTGCCTAAGCTTGCCTAAACAGGTGCTTTAGTCCACTGAGCTATCTCGCCAGCCCCTGCTTCTAGTTTTTTGAGGGCTTTTGTCATGAATGGATATTGAATTTTCCCAAATGCTTTTCCTGTGTCTTGAAGCGATTGTGTGGCTTTTTTCTTTATTCTATTAATACCCTGTATTACATTAATTAAAGATATTAAGTCAGGGCCAGCCAGGTAGCTCAGTGGACTAAAGTACCTGCTTAGGCAGAGTGCACGGCTGGAGTTTGGTCCCTGATGTTTCTCGACAGCCCTGCCCCTGGGGCAGGCTGAGACTGCCATTGAGACTAGGTGTGGTAGTGCGTGCCTGTAATCCCAGTGCTTGGGAGGCTGAAAACAGGAGAATCATTATGAGTCCGATCTACATAGTGAGACCCTGTAGACCCTGTACTAAATACATTAAAAAAGTTTAAAAGATATTAAGTCAGACTTGTATTCTGGAGACACAGAGCCCATGTAGTTATGAGGTGCTAGATTTCAGTGTGTGCTTGATTTCAGTTTGATAGTTGGGAATTTGTGTATAGTCATGAGAAATACAGATTTGTAGTTTTATGACTGTCAGATTATAGTATTGGGATAGGATAGTACTGACCTTGTAGAGTGAGTTGGGGCATATTCCTTCCTCCACTGTTTACTAGAAGAGTTAACTAATTGACATTAATTCTTCTTTTTTTTTATTTTTTTAATATTTTTGGAGAACCAAGGATTGAACTCAGGCCCTTGCACTTGCCAGGGAAGCGTTTATTCTACTGAGCCATTCCCCTGCCCCTAATTCTTCTTTAAATATTGATAAAATATCAGTTCATGGAGTTCTTTGTAGGAAGATTTTATTTGTTTATTTAGTCTTTTTTTTCTTTTAGACAGGGTCTTGCCATGTAGTTCAGAGCAGCCTTGAACCAGTATGTAGCTCAGGCTGCCCTTGAACTCTCAGCAGTCCTCCAGCCTCAGCCTCCCAAGTGCTGGGATTACAGGCATGTGCCATCACACCTGGCTTTGTCTTTTTGAAACAGGGTTTCACTATGCAGTTCAGGCTGGCCTTGTGAACCTACTTTATAATACAGGCTAGCCTCGAACTCAGAGACTTTCCTGCCTTAGCCTCTTTTAAGTCTGAGTTGCAGGTGTGTGCTATCACATCTGGTCACAAATTTTAAGTTATTGATATAATCTATTTGTTGAGTTTTTCTATTTCTGCTCGAGTCAGTTTTGATAATCTGTGTTTCCTAAGGATTTGTCTATTTCATCTAAGGCTTCAAATTTATTAGCATGTAGTTCTAATGTTTTCCTACAGCTAACATTTAGCCTTATTTATTGTCTTACCTATGCCTAGTTTTGCTTCTAGCTTTATCTTTCATATTTATAAGAGTTCTAAATCTCTTCCACAGATTTCTTCCTTATTTTTTGGATGGAATAATTCAAGCCTCTTAGAATAATAAAAATTAAAATATTTTATTCTCATATTTCTTATGTTGCCATTTTGTTCAGGGCTGGTTGCTTTGTATGTGTATCCTGGTGGATCTGAAGGTTGAACACTGTCTTATATGGGAGAGCCCTCAAGATTGATAGTATTTATAAAAGACTATAGATTTATCAGCACTGGCCAGAAGTTGGGTGTGGTGAGCCACTGTGAAGGTGCAGTGTAAGATCCTGTCCAGTTCTTGTCTCCTCTCACTGTTCTTTTTGGGCTCCTCACGATTTGAACAGAGGACCCAGGCGCACACTTAGGGTTGTGCTAGGTTCCTCTCCCTCTTGGGTGCTTTGGCAACCTAAAGATAGCTGGTATATTGCTTTTTTTTTTTTTTTTTTTTTTTTTTTTTTTTTTTTTTTTTTTGGTGTTTTTTTTTTTTTTTTGAGATTTTTTTTTTTGAGGATGCTGAAACAATTTTAAGAAAAATTCATCTACCTTACTGACCTTTGTTAAATTGCCCAAAAACACAAGAGAAAGATAACCTCTTAAACAAATGGTGTTGCGAAAATCGGCTGTTCACATACGATTGAATCAAAACCCATATTTCACCATGTCCTAAACTAAAATCAAAATCTAAATATTAAACAATTTGCTGGAAGATAAAACAGGTTAAACTCAAATACATTAAAAAAAAAAAAAAACTTTTACCTAGTTTGTCATTCTTTAATGGCGTATACATCATGTTTTATTTTTTATCCTTTTTATTATTTTTATTCATTTTAATGAGAAGAAAATAGCAATGGAACAATTTAAAAACAGGTTAGTAGGGCAGTTGCAGTAATAATACATTGCATATTGTCTTTGTAGTTGTTATTCAAAGGACAAGATGCAGACACAGATGATTGGTTAAAAGGGTTATGTTATGTCAAAATAAAAATTTAAGTATGTCACAAAGTGTCATCAGGATTGTCATGCTGTAAAGGTATGTATAGTTTTAGGGCTGGCCAAATAGCTCAGTGGATTAAAGTGCCTGCCAGCAGGCACAGGGACCAAGGGTTCGATCCCTAGGCCTGCCGTGCTGGCCCTGCCCCCGGGACCTGCTGCAACAGCATTTGAGACTGGGCATGGTGGCATGCATTTTTAATCCCAGCTCTTGGGAGGCTGTAAACAGGTGAATCACTATGAGTCCAATCTAGTGGTGAGACTATGAACACCCTGGACCCTTCCTTAAAATAAAAAAAATTTTTAAAACTTTAAAAGTTACATATAGTTTTAATTTCAAAATTTCTCTGTAAAAATTGTGTAATTGTTTTTTAAC